TATTTCCAAGTCAGGATGGTGAGTGACTTGGAGGGGAACTTGAAGGTGGTGGTGCTCCCATATATCTGCTGAACTTGTCCTTCTAGATGGAAGTGGTCATGGGTTTGGAAGGTGCTGTCTGGAGGATCTTTGGTGAATTTCTGCAGTGCATCTTGTAGATAGTAAACAGTGCTGCTACTGAGTGTCGGTGGTGGAGGGAATGAATGCTTGTGGATGTAGTGCCAATCAAGCAGGCTGCTTTGTTCTGGATGGTGTCAAGCTTCTTGAGGGTTGTCAGGGCTGCACTCATCCAGGCAAGTGGGGAGCATTCCATCACACTCCTGACTTGTGCCTTGTAGATGGCAGACAGGCTTTGAGGAGTCAGGAGATGAGTTACTCGCCACAGTATTCCCAGCTTCTGGCCAGCTCCTGTAGCCACTCTGTTAATGTGGTGAGTCCAGTTGAGTTTCTGGTCAATGGTAACCCCCAGGATGCTGATAGTGGGGGATTCAGTGATGGTAACACCATTGAATGTCAATGGGCAGTGGTTGGATTGTCTCTTATTGGTGATGGTCATAGCTTGGCATTTGTGTAGCGTGAATGTCACTTGCTCCTTGTCAGCCCAAGCCTGGATATTGTCCAGATCTTGTTGCATGTGAACATGGACTGCTTCAGTATCTGAGGAGACACGAATGGTGCTGAATATTGTGCAATCATCAGCGAACATCCTCACCTCTGACCTTATGGAGGGAAGGTCATTGATGAAGCAGCTGAAGATGGTTGGGCCTAGGACACTATCCTGAGGAACTCCTGCAGAGATGTTGTGGAGCTGAGATGATTGACCTCCCACAACCACAACCATTTTCCTACGTGTCAGGTATGATTCCAACCACCGGAGAGTTTGCCCCTTGATACCCATTGATTCCAGTTTTGCTATGGCTCCTTGATGCCACACTCGGTCAAATGCAGCCTTGATATCAAGAGCTGTCGCTCTCACCTCACTTCTGGAATTCAGCTCTTTTGTCCATGTTTGAACCAAGGCTATAATGAGGTCAGGAGCTGAGTGGCCCTGGAGGAACCCAAACTGGGCGTCACTGAGCAGGTGCTGCTTGATAGCACTGTTGATGACACCTTCCATCACTTTACTGATGATCGAGAGGAGACTGATGGGGCAGTAATTGGCCAGGTTGGATTTGCCCTGCTTTTTATGTACAGGACACACTTGGGCAATTTTCCACATTGTCGGGCAGATACCACTGTTGTGACTGTACCGGAACAGCTTGGCTAAGGGAGCAGCAAGTTCTGGAGCACAAGTCTTCAGTACTATTGCCAGAATGCCAGTAGCCTTTGCAGTAACCAGTGTCTCCAACCGTTTCTTGATATCACATGGAGTGAATCGAATTGGCTGAAGCCTAGTATCTGTAATGCTGGAGGACTACTGGAGGAGGTCAAGATGGATCATCCACTCAGCACTTCTATCTGAAGATTGCTGCAGATGCTTCAGCCTTATCTTTTGCATGGATGTGCTGGGCTCTTCTATCATGGACGATGGGGATGTTTGTGGAGCCCCCTCCTCCAGAGAGTTGTTTAATTGTCCACTAACATTCACGACTGGATGTGGCAGGACTGCAGAGTTTAGCTCTATCTGTCACTTACTGCTTTCGCTGTTTGGCGTGCAAGTAGTCTTGTTTGGTGGGTTCACCAGGTTGATACCTTATCTTCAGGTATGCCTGGTGCTGCTCCTCCTAGCATGCCCTCCTGCACTGTCCATTGAACCAGGATTGATCCCCTAGCTTGATGGTAATGGTTGGGTGGGGGATATGCTGGGCCACGAGATTACAGATTGTGTTGGAGTACAATTCTGTTACTGTTGATGGCCCACAGCGTCTCAGGGATGCCCAGTCTACAGTTGCTAGATCTGTGTGAAGTCTGTCCCATTTAGCATGGTGATAGTACCACACAACACGATGGAGTTTGTTCTCAACGTGAAGGCAGGACTTTGTCTCCACAAGGACTGTGTGATGGTCACTCTTACCGATGCTGTCTTGGACAGATGCAACTGCAACTGGCAGATTAGCGAGGATGAGGTTAAGTATATTTTTCCCTCCTGTTGGTTTCCTCACCAACTGCCGCAGACCCAGTCTAGCAGCTATGTCCTTTAGGACCCGACCAGCTTGATCAGTAGTATTACTGCCGAGCCACTCTTGGTGGTGAGCAGTGAAATCCCCCACCCAGAGTACATTTTGCGCCCTAGCCATCCTCAGTGCTTCCTCTAGGTGTTGTCCAACATTGAGGAGAACTGATTCATCAGCTGAGGGAGGACGGTGTGTGGTAATCAGCAGAAGGTTTCCTTGCCCATGTTTAACTTGAAGCCATGAGACTTCATGGGGTCCGGAGTCAATGTTGAGAACTCCCAGAGCAACACCCTCTCAACTGTATACCACTGTGCCGCCTCCTCTGCTGGGTCTGTCCTGCCGGTGAGACAGGACATATCCAGGGATGGTGATGGCGGTGTCTGGGATCTTGTCTGTAACGTGTGATTCTGAGTATGACTATGTCAGGCTGTTGCTTGACTAGTCTGTGAGACAGCTCTCCCAATTTTGGCACTAACCCCCAGATGTTAGTGAGGAGGACTTTGCAGGGTCAACAGGGCTGTTTCTGCCATTGTCTTTTCCGGTGCCTAGGTCGATGCCAGATGATCCGTCCAGTTTCACTTCTTTGAGTCTTTATAGCGATTGGTACAACTGAGTGGCTTGCTAGGCCATTTCAGAGGGCAGTTGACAGTCAACCACATTGCTGTAGGTCTGGAGTCACATGTAGGCCAGACCAGGTAAGGGTGGCAGATTTCCTCCCCTGAAGGACATTAGTGAACCAGATGGGTTTTTCCAACAATCAACAATGATTTCATGGTGATCAGCAGATTCTTAATTCCAGACTTTTTTTTCTGAATTCTAATACCACCATCTGCCGAGCCTTGTATAGTAGAGGAAAACAATTTCCGGTTCTAACTAGAAGAGTAGTTAGCAAGATACAGTTTGTTGCATATTAGCAACTAGCTACAGGTTACATGGACATAATAGACGTTGTTAAAGACTTTCACGAGGACCAGATGTTAGATCTCATTCTTTTAGGATCCCGAGATACCCACAAGTTCATCACTCTGGTGGATGCTGCTTATGGCACTCTTCAGCTTTAACACTTTCAGACCCGTAATAGAATAGTCACCTTTAGTGGAATAAAAAGATACAGAAAAAAGTTCCCAAGATGTTGACACCGACAAAGTAAATAGCATTTGGGCTCCAGAGCCCATCCACTGCATCCTTCTTTCTTTTTCCTCTTAGTCTTTTTTTTCCTTTTATTGTCAGCAGTGGAGGAAGTGTCATTGTGGAGGAGGCTGGAGTGGGACTCATGGTAGCGATGTCAGCGAGGCGGTGGTTGCGGCTGCACCTTCAGCTTTGGCTGCACGGTGGGCCCAGATCGGGACCCCCAACTCAGTAACACGGAAGGAACAGTGATACATTTCCATATCAGGGTGGTGAGTGGCTTGGAGGGGTAACTTCCAGGTGGTGGTACTTCCTCGTATCTTCTGCCCTTGTCCTTCACGATGGAAGAGATCATTGGTTTGAAAAGTGCTGTTTAAGGAGCCTTGCTGAATTTCTGCAGTGTACCTTGCAAATGGTACACACCTACTACTGAGCATAGTTGGTGGAAAAGTGCATGTTTGTGGATCCCAATCAAGTGGGCTACTTTGTCCTGGATGGTATCAAGCTTAGAGCGTTGTTGGAGCTACACCCATCCAATCAAGTGGGCAGGATTCCATCACACTCCTTACTCGCACGCTGAAGACGGTGGACAGGCTTTCAGAGTTAGGTGGTAGCTGGCTGCTGCAGGATTCCTAGCTACATGAAGAAGTCTGAGGCTACAGTGTTAAATGGCTAGTACAGTGGAGTTTGTGGTTAATGGTAACTCCTATAAAGTTGATTCTGGGAGACTTGGTGTTGATTACATCATTGAATCTCAAGGGGTGATGGTTATATTGTGCCTTATTGGAGATGGTCATTACCTGGTATTTGTGTAGCACAAATGTTATTTGCCACTTGTTAGCCCAAACCTGGATATTGTACAAGTCTTGCTACATTTGAACATGGCTTGCTTCAGTATTTGGTGAGTCACGAATGATGCTAAATATTGTGCAATCATCAGCAAACATGCCCACTTCTGACCTTATGATGGAGGCAAGGTCACTGATTAAGCAGCTGAAAATGGTTGAGCCGAGGACACTACCATGAGGAACTCCTGCAGTGATGTCCTAGAACTGAGATGACTGATCCCCTACAGCCACAATGAGCTTAGTGTATACCAGGTATGACTCCAACCAGCAGACAATTTTCCCCACTTCCCATTAATTCCAGTATTGCTTGGGTTTCTTAATGCCAAACACAGTCAAATGATATTGATACCAAAGGCATTCACTCTCACCTCACATCTGGAATTCAGCTCTTTTGTTCATGTTTGAACAAAGGCTGTAATGAGCTGAGTGGACCTAGCAGAACCCAAACTGAGCATCATTGAGCAAGTTACTGCTAAGCAAGTGCTGTTACATAGCACTGTTGATGACACCTTCCATTATGACGTACAAGACGTGTAGTAGAAAAACCTGAAAATAAACTGGAAATCTTTTCCAAATTTAGCATAAAATGAACAGCATTACAAAGTCTTCAATTTTTTTTTTTAAAAAGAATATGCAGCAAAATTGTTGCATGTTGATTACTTGGAATTGACACTGGTCAAAAACAACCACCTAATTATTCTAATCCTATTTTCCAGCACTTGGCCTTAAATACCTTGAAGTTGTAAGTACACATTTAAATACTACTTAAATGTTATGAGCAACTTGTATTTTAAACAATCAATGATTCACAGATGACATTTTGATCAGATTAGATCACATGCTCTATTACATTGTCACAGAAAATAATCAATAATTAAATGCTGCCTTAATATAATAATAAAACAATTACCTGATGACAGTGGTTGATTTACTGCTTTCTTTTTGTTTGGAGTTTCAGATTCTGTGCATAAAATTTGTTTAGGTGTTTTGTTATTGCTTGCTCCAGCTTTGGGCAAACTGGTCAAACTATTAGATTTTGCAGAGTTCTTGGAATTTATTGCACCTTGCTGAACATTTGCTTTTTCTGTAACATGTAAGAGTGGCTCTTCCTGGAATGCTGCAGGAGCATCTCTATTGCCTTCAATTGTAGCATACTTTTTTCCTGATTTTTGCTTTTTAGATCCAAATTCTGTTCGTTGTTTGGGACTTAGAAGTACTATAGAAGTAGATAAAGATTCATTCTGTAATTCTTCCTGCAGCTGCTCCTCATAATTCTTCGTTAATGGAAGTACAGTAGACTTTCTGACTGGTTCATTCAGTTTGCAAGTTTCTTTGTCCTCCAACTGTTTCAAGTGCACGGGTTCAGTTAGTAATTGAGCCTGCTTTTCATCTGTGTAAGATTTTTTCCCTACTGTTTTATGTTTACTTTTCTTGATCACTTCCTGTTTGTTGGAGTTAGATTTCTTTTCCTGCATTTCTGGTTTCTGGCTTAATACTTGGGTTTTCCTTGGTATAATAATCTGTGACTCAAAACTGAAGCTCTCCTTTTCCATCAGTTCAATTTCAAAGTCATTAGGCTCAGGGGTTGACGTACTAGGAACAACTTGTGTTGATGGTGGCAATACAGAAACAACAGGTCTGTGGAAAGAATGTAGCAATAGTATTAAAATTAGGAACTGCATCCTAGTTCCTTTTATATTCAGACAAATGCTCAGCCTATCAAAATTCCAGATTTTCTCCCATCTAAATTCATCTTTCTTTTGTTACAAATCATGGACAGAAATATCATGCAACACGAGTTCATAGTTTTATTTAAAATAGTTGTTTAGGTAGAACAGAATGTGAGTATTGCTTAAAAAAAGACACTTTGTCTTGCACTCATCAGGACGAGTCACAAGAATATTAATTCAGCTGGCAAGTGGAATCTGATTTATGCAGGCATTGCTATGGAAAATGCACCAATAATGCTGACTGATAATTAACTGTCAGACTGTTTCAATTTTAAAAGCAGGCAAGTTGACTCAGATTGTTGGGATTATTGTCTTGAGAAATGACCCAATAAATGGCTGTCACCTGTTGTTGGGAATGAAATATGAGCTTTACATGTGGAAGACAATAATACAATGGGAGAGATCATCAAGATACAGCTACACAAAATCTGTCTATTTGATAAGGATAAGTTAATACAATAATTATTACATAATGCAGCGCACAACTATTTTGCACATGATTTATGAACAAATTCACAGCACTTTTTGTTTAGCAGTACATTGTCCCAACAAACTGATCCACTCAAACACATCAGGAAGGGTTATTACCAATCTGTGTCATTACTCAGACAGGGGAGCATTCATGATGCTATCTCTGATCTCGACACCTCTAGATTAGACAGAGGGGAAAATAAATAAGCCTCAGTTCCTATCCAGTCCACAAGCCAGTGATCTTTTATAAAGCCAGGAGATAACAGGATTGGGAACAGCTGTAGTGTCCTTAAAATTGAAGGCTGCATGGTACATGTGGAATCATAAGTTTGCAGGCAACCAATGCTTTCAGAAAGAGTAAGAAAAAAAATGCTCGTGGGAGTCTGAACATTTATAGAGATACTTACTTCCTTCCAAAATGGTTGGACAGAATCTTATGCCTTTCAACACCTGAAGTGGATTGGGCTATATTCTTTTTGGCGAGTGTTGCAAGAGGGCTCCTTGGGACTACAGGTGTAATACTGGTGTCAAAACACAGTCTGCAAACAAAATTTAGCAAATCAGACTCAATAATAATGGATAAACTTGAAGAAACAGACAAAAAGGAGTTTTTGAAGTAACATTTGCCGAGTTGCCAGCATCAGTGCTATAGAAGGCACGTAGTAAACTGTTCCACAAAGTTTATATTAAGTAGTATGCAGCTTGCAAGTTGCTGGACTTCCTACTCTGTAACATAAAAATACATCTGTATTTTCTCAGAAGGAGTGGATATTGAATAGTTAAGTATAATGCTACTGTTAACAAATCTGCCCAAGTCTAAAAACTGTTACTCCTACTCTACTTGTACTAAGGTACCAGTTTTTATACCTCATATTTGGTTTAGATTCAAGAGGTAAAGCTGAATCATTTGGAGTTGAGTTGATAACAGATGTTTCAGCATTGTAAGTAATCCCATTTTTTTCCACAGGGGACACATCTGTCTCTAGCTCTAGAGTCTTCAAGGTAACGAAATAGTGCTCTTCTCCTTCATCAACAGAGCCTCTTTCATCATCATCATCATCAACAACAACATTGTCACCACCACCAAGCTCATTGGCTTTGTTGTTAGCAACAGCTGCTTGTACCAACCAAAGCCGCGTTTGTTTACTTGAACTGCAGTAGCCTTCAAAAGAAAAAGGAAAAACAATTATAAAAAATTTATCCATATGTATAAAACTTGCATAAACAGCAATTGTAAAACAAAAAAGCACAGATGTGACGAAAAGTAAATTCTATTCAATTTTCACCAAAAGAAATTGAGCCTTTTTGATCTATAAGGCACAAAGACAAACTGGTTGAGCAAAATGCACACAATAAACAGCTACAGCCAACTGTCATTACTAACAGTTATGAAAAACTGTAGAATCAGCACGTTGTCATCAGCAACATGTGAAGCAATGACTTCAATTGTGATTTAAAAGCAAACAACAAATTGGTAGTCAATAAAAAGACCAAAAAAGTTTCTTAGGAAGCAAGAGCTAGATGAAAAATGTTCATTCTGCACACTAAATGTTGTTCACTACTCAGTGTACCAGATTTGCAACTCCCTCTTATAAAACAAGAGTACTGTGAATGGTGGAAATATGAAATAATAACAAAAAGGGCTGGAAAAACTCAATTGGTCTGATAGCATCTGTGGGCACGAAACAGTTAACTTTTCAAGTCCAGTATGACTCTTTTGTAGAACCAGATGCCACTACCTTATGGAATGTCCTGCCTCGTATGACCAAAGATCAGTGGGTTCAGAATCAGTCTCTTCAATCACAAGACCACCCATGGCAGGAACCTGGGATCCTGAGCAGAAAGTAACTTCGAATTGAGGGACAGCTGACGTTAACTTATGTTAACTCTACCCCAAAGAGGAATCTTTTAATCGCACTTAAAATTATATGTATTGTGATACACCACATCACTTAAAGCAGGTCTTATGAGGCATTCCTGCAGTATACAGTACCTCATTATTTCATCTCTGTAGTGATTGGAACTAGGGCCAGGTGGATCTCGTTGACTATGAGATCCTTGATCGGGGTTGTTAGCCTGGGCCAATCAGGGAGCCCTGGCCAACAGATATAAACAGGAGATACAGACAGACTCCTGTTTCTTGGGACTGACTCTGAGCTGGCTGGTCAGAGCTTATACCTCTGCACATGTAAATAAAGGGTGTCTTGGTGATGGGATACCAGCCTTTGTGCAGTTAGTTCAGTAGCAACAAGACTAAGCAGTACATGGTTGAAGAAAATTCTCTTGAAACAGTCATCTTTGAATTGGGGGTAAGCACTTCTGGTATCATACCGTTATTTGGGAAATTCGACTTGTTCAATCCTGTTGAAGACTGGGCCCAGTTTGTGGAAAGAATACATTATTTTTTCCCAGGCAAATGACATTGGGACAGATGAAAAGCAACAATTAATCCTTTGAGACAGCAGGAACTGCAGATGCTGGAGAATCTGAAGAAGGGTCTAGGCCCGAAATGTCAGCTTTCCTGCTCCTCTGATGCTGCTTGGCCTGCTGTGTTCATCCAGCTCTACACCTTGTTATCTCAAGTAATCCTTTTAACTGCTTGCAGGTCCACAGCATTTTTGGTTATTAGGAGTCTAAATTTCCCTGAGGCACTAGCTGCTAAAGCCTTTCGAGAGTTGACAGATTTAGTTAAGGAATATTACAACCCCAAACCTGCTCTAATTCTGAGATGCTATAGGTTTTATTTGGCTGCTTGAGAACCAGGGAATCTGTTTGGGGAGTTTTGACGAGGTTAAGACGACTGGCAGGGGCATGTGATTTTGGGTTAACCCTGAATGAGATGCTGAGAGTATGTGGGAATAATGAGTAACCATGCAAAAAAGTGCGTACCAGCTGAAGCCCAACTGGACTTCAAACAGGCACGAAAACTGGCTTTGTTACTAGAAAATGCAGCAAGTGGAAGCTACAAGACATCCCAATGGAAGTGGACGCCCTCACCTGTCTGACTGAGCTTGAGAAACATCACTTGAGAGGAGGCAATTGCAGAGCCTCACACAAGGCATATCCTGAGCAGAAGAACCCTAGGTCAGCCCACAGCAAAACCCCAAAACAAAGCCAAGCCTCAGCCAAATGGCTAAAATGTTCTTCAGGATCCAGGCCAGCAAGCCATTGCACTTGTTGCCAGTATACAGACTCTAAACAGCAATGAGGTCCTATGAGGCCTGATGCGACTAGGAAAATTCATACGCTGCTATCCAGGAGACTGCACACCATGGAAAGTCCATCTGTGTGTGGTTTGGAACAGTGAAATTGTTTAGCAACATTCAAATCAAAACCAAAATAAAATGTTTGGTTAAATGGTCACCCTGTTCTCATGGGAGGCGCAACAATGGGGAGCAAGAGCAATTGTCCCAAGTAAAGGTCACTGCTAGATACTGGCTGAATTCCACTCGGGTCATTCAGGGATTTCCAAAAAGATGTTGGCAAAACGTTATGTCTGGTGGCCAGAATTGGGTGTGTTGATGGGGTAGTGCCCAGAATGCCAACAAGGACAAACATTACCACCAGCAGCACCCCCCACATTCATGGGAGCCGGGTAAACCCTGGACTCAGTTACACATCAATTATGCCAGTCCTTTCAGTGGGCACAATGTTCCTGATCATTGTGATGCCCATTCAAAGTAGTTGGATGTGCATAGAGTTCATTCAGCAAACACTGAGGGATGACGATTGAAAAGCTGTGAGCATCATTTGTGCTACATGGAATCCCAAAAGTATTGGTCACGGAAAATGGGACATCATTTACCAGCAGGAAATTAGACTTTTGGAAATACTCAAATGGCATTCAGCCAATTCCATCCCTTGTCCCATGGTCTGGCAGAAACAGCAGTCCAAACATTGAAGGCAGGCTTACAGATTCACTTGATACCAAACTGTCTTGGTTCCTGTTTAATTCTTGGACCACCACACTCAACTTGCAGGGCTAGCTCCAGCAGAGTTGCTGAAGGGGAGAAGACTCTGCACCAGGTTAAACCTGATATTCCCTCTCCGGGGAAGCAGGGTGAAACGGCAGCAGGAAAGCCAATGCCAGCCACGTGCCTCCTCTAGGAAAGAGAGAGACAGTTTACTTCAGGGACGAACTTTGGTGTCACAACCGTGGAAATGCCCTCCATGGGTATGAGGTAAGGTCAACACGAGGTCAGGTCTTATGACCTACAAAGTTCAGGAAAGTGAGGCGGTCCTGAACAAACATGTGGATCACCTGAAAGCCGCTACTCCTCAAACAGGGCAGAAGCAAAACATACCCGACTCTTCAGAACAGCCAGAAGGCCTGTCAGAAACCATGGGTTGTCCCTTCTGTCTAGCAAAGAAACCTCAGAACGAGACGGATCCCTTGTTACCACATGAAGAGAAAACTCTCGACACTTTGGGTGCAAGACACAGGATTCTAGTCACCAGCTGGTCAGAGCCTACGTAATGTGCGCATGTAAATAATGGGTGACTTGGTGACGGGATACTGGCCTTTGTGCAGTTATTTCAGTCTCCTTTTCCTGAATAAAGCTACACAACATTCTTTTTTCAAAGATATGAATTTTGAAATCAACCTGCTCAGGCAGGTCATTACACATGTGAGGCAGTCAGGACTTGAACCCAGACCCTCTAGTTCAGATGCAAGGATGACAACACTATGCCAGAAGAGCCTTACCCCTTTCTCAACACATTACTAATCAACATGTTCTGAGATATTATGACAAATCTCTGGAGCAGTTTGGACTTGAATCTGGATGTCCTGGTTCAGAGGTAGGAAACACCACCACTGCCACAAGACACTCTTTTCTCAATATACATTAATTCACATAACTACACTGAAAGATGACATCAGCATTCTTAAGAAGCGAGACATCATCCTATGAATGAAGATGATTTTGTTCATTTTGACTTTTGGTCATCGATGGCCCTGATGGCTTCAAAAAATGCTGTGCATGTGGCAAGGTGAACATTCTCATGGATTTCTCAAGTTTTCTCGCTCCACTACTTTTACTTTCTGGATTTAGCTTTGAGCGTCAGCCTCAAGGTGTTACAATGTTACCTTCTTGACTTGTGACTTTTAGTTGTTCTGACAGAAAATGACATTTGCTCATTGTTGTCTCCAGAATGATAATCTTTTCTTATCTTAGGATGGCAAACATCATCTGATTCAAAGGTCAGAGCACAAGCATGGCTAGCTTTGGCATATGGATTCTAGCCGAGCTACTAGGTGTGGTGTCATAAGATTTCTATGACTAAACATTTTTGGCAGTGCATGCAAGATCCCATTCTGGCTGAGAAAACAATCTCCTTGGATCTTCCATTTGTTACTTCAGTCTCTCCTCCTAAGGAAGATTGGCCTCACTCAGGCGCCAATGTCAATTTGGAGTTTTTTTTCAGTTGCCATTAAGATCAGTGCACAGACTTAATTGTGGTGTCCAAAAAAAAATTAAGAATATTCTGAATTATGGCAACTAACTACCAACTAACATGTTTTCAATCATAATTGCTGCAAAAGATATTTCCAATTGTTAGTCCACAAAGAATGCAAAGGCATTGTGTGGTGTCCCTGTCTCTTAAACATTGCAGATGAATTGTTATGACAGAAGAAATGTTTAATTCTGTCTACAACAGATTCCTTAACTTCTACTTGTACTTGCTGCTCTTTCCCCAATTGCTGCAACATACAGCGCACCATCCTTTCAATTCTGAAGAAGAATCACATTGAACTCAAAACTCATTCTTCTTCCACAGATGTGAGAGACTTCTGAGACACACCAGCATGTCCTGGTTTTATTTCAGATTCCAGCATCTGCTGTACTTTGATTTCATTATACAATTACATTTTGGACTCACTCAGAATTTGACATGCCTGAACAGCAAAGCATATTGCTCCCTCTTTTTTGCACTTCGCTTAGCAAAGGATTTGAGTTGAAAATCCACTAGAATTCACCATACCACTCATGGAAAATGCCTTTCATTTCCAGCAAAGGGAATTCTGCCAGCTAGAACCAGGAAATCAACAAGTGCTAGCAGCTTGTGGTACCGAATAACCGCAGAACACCATTTAAGCCAATCCATGCCCTTACATTTTTTCAGACAATTTGTCAGAGCTGGTGAGCACCTGTACCAATCCACCAGCACTCGCCTGTCATGCAGTATAAATATTGCTTTTTTCCTTGAATGTGTATTCTCGCAAAATGAGTGCATGATGACAAACTTCAGCAAAATGTGCCATTTTTCAGAACTTTTTTTCTTGAATTTAACCAGTACCTGGCGTCAATGGGTGACAGCGAGAAGGTGGGGGTGGGGCATGAGGGAGTACATACTTACATAATCCAAACTGTGTTCATCTTTGTATCTTTGAGTGTCTTTTCTTTGTAACCAACTAGTTATTTCTTATTGATTAACGAAATTTAGATGACTTTTTAATATCGAACCTGACATGGTCTGAGATCAATAATAATTGACCATATTGCTAATCTGGTCGAATTTAGTATTTAATTTTGACCAGTGAGACTAGAAAAGAAAATTGAGCACCCAAGATTGCAACATAAATGACAAAAATCTGATAGTACATAACACTAAACAAAAAGTGTAAGAGATGATCTGATCTAAATTTCCTTTTTTTCACATTAATGTCCAATCACATCATCTAGCTTGATGGATTATGCGCTTTTGGATGCCCTCTTTGTCCTATTTTATTTCGGCCATCATGCACCAGTCTCAACTTCACATCCTTCTCTTCAGATCGAGGCATGTTTTTGATAACCTATCCAAAAATAACAAACAAAGCCCTGTCTGGTCACTTTTGTTACCTGCTAGATTTATGTGTCTAAATTCTCAAATTCTCACTCAGTCTTTAAAAGGTAGTAAAGTACTGCACTAAAACCAAACTGATTTTAACTAAATCAATCCAGCAAATGAATATAGTACTGAAGCAACATTACTACAAAAGAACAAATCGAAATAAGTGGTACAAACCATTGTATTCTTTCCTCTTGTCTGTGCAAGAATCTTCATGACATTGGTTATTTTCAGGTACCTGTAATGGTGTTCTGGCAGTAGTCAATCTCTAAGAGGAGGGGGAAAAAAAAAAATCTTAAAATGTAACTTAATTAATTTCCTTCATTTAATACATGTCACAAGTGTCCCCGAACCTTAATTTTCAATCATTGTGCCACACCTGACCTAACCTGGAGGAAAGCACGGTATCTTTTCTTTTGTACACTAAAGTGAAGGTGGTTCACATTAAATTTGCGTTTAAAACGGCCAGTAGCTATAGTTATGAAGTCTTTCACCTCAGGGGACTTGTCTCAAGTCTAACCAAATCTGCTCAATGACGATCTCACTACCCTGTTGCTTTCAAGGATCATAACTGAAATTCGTCTAATAGTATCAATACATTTCTGAGTAGATACAGTGCACCAAATAAATTATACAGGTATTAATAAGTGTGGCATGATACGTAACAGAAGAATGAAATAAGGCACATTGAAAGCTATTACAGAGCAGCAAATTGTGCATAGCTGTCTGAAAACCCTGAATGTTAAACACCAGAACTATGTTAATCCCCTAACAGAAACATAAATTCATCTCCATCCTAATAAAATAGCAATTCTACACACAACCTCCAATTTACTATAATTGGAAAAATAAATCACAACAATCACAATACAAACTTCCGATTAGACTAGTTAAGATTAGAGAAAATCAAATTAGTGATGTAAAAATCAAATCGATAAAATAAAATTAATGAATTTCATCACCTTGTTACCCTGAAGATCTGCTGGTGATTGTTTGACTAGATTTCTCCCTTTTGGAAGCTGGACTTCAAAGCGAGATGTGGAATCCAGATGTGAACCACTATTATTAATACTGTCTAGAAATATTAAGAATTAATAAAATTAATTTGTCTTTATTAACAATCTAACCTCAAACATGAAAAAAAAAATGACTGTAGCCAAGCATGCTTCAGTAATATGGCTTCAACATAAACAAAAGCAACTTCTCAACTCACTCCATTACAATAAATTTGTAGTGTAGGATTCAGATTATTTATCCATTTGTGGTTTGAGGACTTCTTAATAGTTGATCATAACTGTACCATAGTGGTGCTATCATGAAGAAGCTACATGCTTCAAACATATTTTAGGCAGAAATAGGCATCATCAATGCAGCAAAATAATTAAAACAATTCTTTATGACAAATCAACTTTTGGAGGTATCTTGTATTTGGTTTTAGATACATAGCATGAATCTATCTTTCAAAACCTATAGTGAGGATATAGTCGAGTTGCTGTTCTAATTATAACTAATCAAAGCGTTATAACAATATCAGTTCATATTTGTACAGCGCCAAAAAAGTAATAAAAACAACCCAAGGCACTTCACAGGAGCATCATAAATAACATAATACTGAGCCACATGAGGTGGTATTATAGCAGATAAAACCTATATTTTAATTTGTTAAGAACTGTTTTAAAAGAGCAAAGCATGTTAGAGTGGCGAGAATTAAAGAATTAATTCCAGAACTTGGAACTCAGGCACCTGAAGATGTTACACCACTGGTGACCACAATCAAAATAATAGTTACTCAAGAAATGTGCAGATAAATATTCAGAGAGTAGTGGGACTGAATATTAAGGTCAGGTGTGACCACAACTGAAACTGAAACAAAAGACAAAAATGTTCTTAAAAATCATGTCTTGCTTAATGGTGTCGGCAGCAAACACAGGATGATAGGACAGAGAGATTTGGCACAGGTTAGAACATAATTAGTGTCGTATAACCTCAAGTTTAAGGAGCATAGTAAGCAGAAGGGTGGCAAGAAGAACAATAACATAATCAAGTCTAGATGTAATAAAAAAGGTATGGATGAGCCTATGCAAGACCACGACAAGGACCTGCATCACTATTCAGCATGTAACTCTGAATGGATGCACAATTATGGCTTGAAATCAACTGTCTGGGCCCCCCAGATGATCAGTGACCTTGGTCCCCAGAAACAATTCCAAGTTAGCCCAAAGGGCATACATTACAATTTTGAAAGCATCATGTTTAGCCAAAGTGAACAGGCTGTACAATATAAAATAAATTCAGGAAGACTGAGGCGATAAGAATAAGGTATCCAAGTATAAAAGTGGATAAGAACCTGAAGTATTTCTCAAAGTGTGGTCAACCTAGTTCACAAGCTCCTGGAACATGAAGTTGACACTCAAAAGGGAATGGGATAAATATGAAGGACAAAAACTTGTATATCGATAGTAGATGATTCGTGAAGGATTGTGTTTCTCCACCTGCGTGGTCTCTTGGTGTCTTCAGGGGTCAGAAAGGAATTGCCCATGCCTCAGTAGGAAATTAGCATGAGGTATTTTGAGACCACTGAGAAGATTGTAAGCATTTTTAATTCTTTTCCCCCTTGGGCTGTGGGCATTGCTGACAAGGCCAACATTTGTTGCACACCCCTAATCACTGAGAATGTGGCAGTGAGTTGTCATCTTAAACCAGTGCAGTCCATCTGGTGCAGGTACATTCATGGTGCTGTGAGCAGGAGAGTTCCAGGTATTAAACTAAGTATCAATGAAGAAATGGCAATATAGTTGAAATCAGGATGATATTTGGCTTAAAAAGGGCTCGCAGATGTGGTGTTCCCATGTATCCACCGCATTTGATTCCAGGTGTAGAGTTCACAGGTTCAGAAGGTGCTATCAAAGTTGCTGAGGCACATTTTATATATAGTACACCCTGCTGCCACTGCAAATCATTGGCGTAAGGAACGAATATTTAAGTATGTGAATGAGTTATTGATCAAGTGGACTCTTACTCTGCACTGAGCTTAAGTGTTGTTGGAGCTGTATTCATCCAGCTAACAGGGAAAGTATGCCATCATTCTCCTGACTTATGCTCTGTAAGTGGTGGGCAGGCTTTGAGAAATTACGAGGTGATACACGTGCCTCAGAAGTCCCAACTCCAGCCTGTTCTCAGCAGAAACCATGGATGATCCACTTCAATTTCTGGTCAATAGCAATTTCTAGGATGTTAATAGTTGGGAATTCGGCAATGGCAACACGATTGAATATCAAGGGATGACAAGATTCTCTCATTTGAGACAGCCAATGCTTACCACTTGTGTGGCAGGAATGTTTCTTGCTATTTTTCAGCCCGAGCCTGCAAATTGGCAGAGATTCTTCAGTATCTGAAGAGTTGTAAAGGTTTGGAACATTACGCAATCACCAACATCCCCACTTCAGAGTTTATGATGGAGAGAATGTCATTGATGAAGGCAGCTAAACATGGTCAGCCTACATCATTGTCCTGAGGAATTTGTGCAATAATGTTCTGATTGTTGTTTGGAGAACAAATACCTTCTGTTTGGGCAAATTGGAGAGTTTCCCTGGTTTTCATTAACAGCAAATTTGCCACAATTCCTTAATGCGAAACACTTAAATGCTGCTTTAACATAAAGCAGGTTAAATCTAATCTGGCCAATTTTTACCCTTTGTTTTCCTCTTGCTCATCTGCAAAGTAATGAAAGCTGTCATAGACAATGTTATCAAATCACAGATAGTAATAACTTGCCAAGTCTACTCAGATTGGGTTTTGCCAGGAGTTTATGGGTTCTTAACCTCATTACAGCTTTTGGGCCAAACATGGGCAGAAGAACTGAATTTGAAATAAGGCGAGGGTAAGTGACCTTGATATTAAAGCAGCATTTGACAGTGTCATTAATAATGCTGGCAAAATTGTTAATAGGAATCAAGGAAACTCCCAACTAGTGTCACAAGTTGCCCAAAAGGAAGGTGTTTGTGGTTGTTGGAGAACAATCATCTTACCTTCTGAACATCACTGCAAGAGTTGCTCAGAGCAATGTCCTTGGACTTACCATATTCAGCTGCTTTCATTAACGATAGTCCCTCTAAGCTCAGAAGTGCAGATGTTAGTGATAATTGTGTAACTTTCCAGACCATTTAGAACTCATCAGACACTGAAGAATCTGTGCCAGTTTTCAGGCTTGGGCTGAAAAGTGGCAAGAAACATTCCTGCCACACAGGTGGTAAGAACTGATCATCTCAAACAACAGAATTTAGCCATCACCCCTCAACATTCAATAATACTGCCATTGCTGAAATCCTAACTGTTAATATCCTTGGAATTGCCATTGACCAGAAACTGAAGAATTGAATTTCTTGTATTGTGAGGTTGATGCTGCGGTTGTAGCGGTGGAGGAACACCTTGGCTGGGGACTTAGCCATTTCTGAAGCACAGTACTATTGCTAGAATATTGTCAGGGACCACAGCCTTTACAGAATCCAGTGCCATCAGCCATTTCTTGGTATCACATGGAGTGAATCAAATTGGCAATAGACTGGCATCTGTGATGCTGGGACACTGCACAAAAGGCAAAAGGAGTGGTAACATTTCTAGAAAATTGACCAGGAGTAACTAATAACAGGAAAACCATGACATGGCAGGGAGTGGGGGGGAGCGGGTGGGAGTGGTGGTGTTGGTGGTGGGAGTGCTTAAAGATGATGGTGGTTGTAGAATATCAAATGGAGGACAGAATTCATGATCTGAAATTACTGAATTCTGCATTGAGTCCAGAAGGCTGTTAAATGCCTCAGTGGAAAGTGAGGTGCTGGACTGGAACGTTGCAACATGCCTCAGGCAGAAGTATGAACATGGGAGCAAGGTGTTACATGGAAATTGAGTCTCTGTACCATTGGTTCTTGCAATGCAATCACTGCACTTGAACATTAGTCTAATTGCATAACTTAGTTATGTCTTAGTCTTAGAATCATATATTTTGTCACAGGAGGCAGCCATCTGGCTTCTCATTTTCATACCAGCTGTCTGCAAGAACTTACCTTCTACAAAATAGCTTTGCAAATGCTTTTATTTTCCTTCAAAGGCCTCAAGTTTAACTCCAGGAAGTGCATTTCAGGTTACAACTACTTACTGTGTTAAAAATGTCCTCATATTACTGTTGCTTCTTTGGTTAAACACCCTAGACCAGTCTCCAGGCTCTTAATCCTTCCACAGTTTCTCTTTAATCTACTCTGCCCAGACACTTCATGATTTTGAATATTTGTCCTTGGAAAGAGGAAATTTGAAACAAGACTAGATAACATTTGCAGCATCCCATAGAATTTGAAGCATTGTGTATTAATTAAAAGTAATTGCTCATGATATAGTATTTCATTCATGACGTATACAAGTGCAGAAGTTTCAGTTCATAGCAGCCAATCTGCTTGTAAAAGGTGTTGGGGGAAGAAGCTAAATCATAACACCCTGAACTACCACGTGCCCCAAGGAAAAATTCAGCAAAGAACAGCTATGCTTTCAGCCACTTGCTACTTATTATCCTTTGACAGAATGCCAAATGACAAGAAAGAGAAACAACAGAACTATGTTTCCTTTTCCTACTGTGAAAGAATTAAAACTACAGTTCAAAAGGGCAACCACAAACTTTACACTAGAGTTCCTTTGAATGTTAAATATTCAATACAAGACACACTAATCTCTTACCCTCTCATTGTATTTGTTCCAGTTTCATATGATGAACTTAGCTGACGGTAATAATGAACATGTCAGATCCCACAGTGAAACATGCCTTGACAGATAAGTTTTACTTTTGCAGTTAGTTACCTAAAAGGTCAGTCACTGAACATACTCACATAGAGGCTGCCAGTGTACTTTTAACAAAAGAACACCCAAGTTTATTTCATAATAAAAAGGGGAAAAGTAACTATTTGACACCATAAAAGCACTATGTGAAAGCCTCATTATAAAATCTCCAAAGTAGAGACTCAACTCTTTCACTCTCACAACTTTTAAAAATGCTCAGAACACAGTAGAGGGTCATTTCGTTTCCATTTCAAA